ATGTCAATAGGCTTGGAATGAATTTTTCTGTATGAAACTGTGTGTTTTGACAATGAAGAGGAGATCTTTTTTAAACATTGGAACCTAATTTAATTTTATCTCTTAGAGAGTTTATAATGAGTATAAGATTTTATAAGTGTAATAATTCATCTGTAAACCTAGAAATGTACAGCCAATTTTGAAAGAGATGTACCCTAGCTCAGAAAAATGTTATTGAATACGTTAATGCTGTTGTAATGAAATGCTTCTTTTAATTAAAAAAAAATAAATTAAAAAATATGGAATAAAGGTATTTTCTGATAAACTGAGACAATATAGTTCCAGCAGACTTGCAATAAGTGAATTACCAAAGACTAGCAATTTCTTAAAATGTTAACAGACTATGTGGTTCAGAAATTTCACAATTATAGAGATAAAAATATATGTTCATGGGGCTGGAGAGATGGCTCAGTGGTTAAGAGCACTGACTGCTCTTGCAGAGGACCCGGATTTGATTCCCAGCACCCACATGGTGGCTATGAACCGTTCTTAACTCCAGTTCCAGGGAAATCTGAAGCCCTCTTTTGACCTTGGTGGCATTGCATGACGCGGGTGAACTCACATACATGCAGGCAATACACTTATATACATAAAATAAAAATAATAAATAAAAAATATTTAAAAAATATGTTCACATAAAGACTTGCATATATAATAGTTTTTACTCATACTAATTATAAACGCCACCAATATGTCCATTAAGAGCTGAATGAATAAATCACTGTATAGTTCATATAATTGAACACTACTGAATTATAAAAATTAACATGTAATATATTCAATCTCAACACAGCTGAAAGAAAACATGGTGAATTTCTTCAAAGAATTCAGACACATAGGGATAGATTATTAATATTTCCACTTATAAGAAGTTGTAAAGTTGGCAAAAGTAATCTACTAATAGAAATTTAGGTAGCATTTACCTGGATAGTCAGGCTTTGGGCAGACCAACTAAATTTGGGTGTTAGATACCTTCCTTATCGTGACTACGTACTGGTTACAGAGTTAATGGATATATTCTTTAAAGTCATAGAGCCAATATAATTTAAATGTATGCATTTTATTGTATACAATATATAGCTCAATAATGCTGATTTTTAAAAAAGCTACAATATTCTGTAAAACATTACCTGTATAGATCTGTTTTGTTATCAAACCAATCAGACAAGACTCGAAAGGTAAAGAGTGGGAAACGCTGATGAAGAACATGAAAGCTTACATTTTCAAAAGTGTAGTTAGTTAAAGCAACCTAAAAAACAAAACAAAAAGTAAGGCACCATAATAATGCTTGTGTACTTTAAAAAATATATTTTATTATTTTCATTTTATGTGTACATGTGTATTGCCTGCATGTAGGTGAGTGCACCCGTATCACACAATGCCTGCGGAGGTTAGAAGAGGCTGTCGGATCCCCTGGAACTGGAGTTATGGACAGTTGTTAGCTGCCATGTGGGTGCTGAGATTCGAACCTGGGTCTTCTGCAAGAACAGTCAGTGTTCTTAACCACTGAGCCATCTCTCCAGCCCAATAATGCTTGTATTTTATGTAGAACATTTTGTTTAAAAAAGTCCTAATAATACGTTGAACTTTTCATAGGAGATAGGAAAGCTAACTGTAAATATTATGTTACAACAGAATCACAACTAGAACTATGCATAACTTACTGAACATAAGCATTTTTTCAAATCTTAACTCAAGAAATAAAAAACAGGGTCTGAATATTAATCTCATCTCAGTGTAGTAACCCAAACTGGTTTTTCTTAAGTAAGAAAAAAAAATCTGTTAGGCCGGGCGTGGTGGCTCACACCTTTAATCCCAGCACTTGGGAGGCAGAGGCTGGCAGACCTCTGTGAGTTCAAGGCCAGCCTGGTCTACATAGTGAGTTCCAGGACAGCTGGGGCTCCAGGGAGACCCTGTCTCAAAAAGACCGAAAAAAAAAATTGCTTTTAATCTCTATACTTCAATAGTAAGTGTACTTATTCACATTCTCTCTCTCCTCCCACCCCCTTTCCAATGGGCTGCAAAATGTAGAAAGATCAATGTGATGAGGTTACAGGGGACACACTCTTCTGGCCTCTTTAGGCACTGTATGACACTGGTACACATACATGCAGGCAAAACTCATACACATAAAATTAAAATAAATAACATTTACAAAATATAAGGATAAAAAGGAGCCTCTAGAACTATCCATAGCCAGAAAACATACTTTGAGGGTCTTCAATTTGAAGAAAATACTCAAGGCCAGCTCTGACCCAAAGCCTTGATATTTCAGAATAGCTGGACATATAGAGCACTACCACAACTTTTTACAAAAGTTTATCCAGAATTTTATAAAAATTGTTAAATTGGCAGGGATAATTTTGACTTAACAAAAGTGATGGGCTGGGGAGATAGCACAGTCAGTAAAGTGCTTCATGAGGACCGGAGTCCAATCCCTAGAACCCGAATCCACATAAAAATGTTCTGACACACGACATGGGTGCACTCACATACATGCAGGCAATATACTCATGCACATAAAAAAAAATTAAAAATGTTGCAACATGTCTTAAAATCCCAATGCTTGGAAGGTAGAGACAGAAGGATTCCTGAGGCTTGCTAGCTAGCCAGTCTCCCCTAAATTGTCAAGCTCCAGGCCAATGAGAGACCTCATCTCAATAAACAAGGTGGATGGCTCCCAAGGAATCGTACCTAGCTTCCACACATATGCATATACATAAACTTGCACATACCACACAAACATACACACATTTGCACACAAAATTATTCCCAAGTAGATTCATATAATGTACACTTTGAAATTAAATATGAGCATAACTTTAGAGTCACAGTACAAAGAAGAAATAAGAGGAAAAATGGTGATACTTGAATTTTATATCTAGAGCCTATTTCCTTACTTAATATAATTATGTGACCAAGCATTCTTAGAAAGTCAAATGTTTAACATAAATCCAGGACAGCTACAAAGATCAGTATATTGTAAGAATAAAATGGAAACTGTATAATGAAAAAGTAGTTTCAAAGAGGCGAAGCCATTAAGGAATGATTTTTTGTCTAAATATTTCAGTATTAACAAAAGTCCTAAATCTGAAAACAGACTATAGTATCTTTATATTTCACTTAGAGAAAGCAAACAACATCAAAGATATAAATGTTATATAGTAGTCTATATAAGCTTTTTTGTGTGTGAAAGAATGATTTCTCTAAAGGATTGAAAATTAATGGGCTAGCTTGTTGGAATTATTCAACAACACCAAAAAATCTATCTGAGACCTCAAATCCCTAACCGGATGCTGCTATTAACTATTTCCAAATATTTTCTCTTCAACTTTAACTTCTTAATTTGGTCCAGTTCCTCTGAAGTTTTTGAATAGATAGTTCCTTGTAAAATCTAGACTTTTTTTCTTGAAAATGATGAAATTGTATAATATTAAACAAAAATATCACACTATTTTATTACAGCTGTAGACATTTATTTGTTTTTGAGATGGTATTCCCCTGTGGCCCTAGCTGACCTGGCTGGCATTCACTATGTAGATCAGGTTGGCCTTGATCTCATAGAGATTCCTGGGTGCAGGAATTAAAGGCATGCACCACCTTGCCAGACTGACTTTATTTTTAAGAGTTTCACTGTACAGTCCAGGTGGACTATGAATTCACAATCTTCTTGTCTTAGCTTCCCAAGTGCTGGGATTATAGTTTTATATAATAATACAGATTTTTCTAGTTGTTAGACAAAATGGAAAAACAATTAAAATCATCAATAACATTAAACTGTAATTCTTCTGTAGTATAACAATAAATCAAATATAAGAATAATTCATACTAATACTCTGTAATGATTAAACTGCTATATTTATCTAATCTCATTCCCCCAAATTTAGAAGACCATACCTCATTTCTCATGATTCTCCAAAGGTTTAATGTGATTCTGCCAACAATATTTATCTCACTCATTGTATCTGATCCATAGTCATCTTTTTCAGCTGCAAATCTGTTTTCAATTTTGTCATCTGTAGAAATGAATGCAGATTGTATCATGACTCACAGAAAGCAAACTTTTAGGCAAATTATGCCAAGAAGATAAGAATGATAAAAATATTAAGATTGAAAATTAAATATAAAATGCAATCCAGTCTATTTCATCTTAGAAAACTCACTATTTTAACCAACAAAATAATTTTTCTTTCTTAAATGAAGAAAATTTGAAAAATAAATGTACCAACTCACACATATTCTTTCTCTTTCTATATAGTATACACATCTATTCCTTGATATCTAGAGGATTGGGTCCAGGATATCACGCAGGTACCAAAGTATGTGGAACTCAACTCCTTATATAAAATGGCTTAGTATTTGTATAAGATCTATGCATAGCAGTGATATTATTTACAATAAATAGTAAAATGTAAATATTTGTTAAGAATGGATATGTTTTTTTGATCCATGGCTAGTTTGGGAGGGCAATGAATATAAAAGGCCACAAATGGCCAAAGCACAGACAATGAGAGTCTGCAGACTGTGGGTCCCTGGGTATGACTCCTATATTAAACTTCATCCATCTCAGGAATCACTGTGGAAGAGGGGGCGGAAAGATTTTAACAGCCAGGGGAGGAGGTGCATGACCGTATGGAAACAGTCTTACAGGCTCTTCGGACCTTGCTCATATGAACCTACAGCAATAGTGTCAGCATGCACAAGACCCATGTAAATTCAAGCATACAAAAACCTAGCATAGAACTGTGGAAATCGGCAGCAGGCCCCAATCTTAGCTGAAGAACTATTGGCAACTGATTACTGCTGTGTGAGGGAGAGTGGATCTTCTTTAAGAAAGAGACTCTAGGTAGGCTGACTAGATCCTAGTGGATGAACTTGCACTGAGGGATGCCTGGGTACACTTATTTGACTCGATATGCCTTAACATATATGACTGAATGCATGAAATCCAGCGGGGTGGCCTATGGGGGGGTGCTCTGGATGAGGGAGGAGGCAAGAGCAGGGGGGGTCTATAGATGATTAAGATGTTTTGAGTGAACTGCACAAAAATTCAATAAAAAATTGGTAATTTCTGCTGATGCATTTATTAACATCTGATGCACTTCTCTTTTACTTTAGCATAAACAAATATCCATTGCTTCTAGGCATATAATGTCTCATGCCTATAATCCCAGCACATAGGAACAGGAAGACTGTGCGTTCAAGGCAAACCTAGGCTATATAGCAAGACTCTGTCTCAAGTGAAACTAAAGTCCACTGTCATTTCTTGGGAGGGGGGGAAGGTAGCTGGTGAAGGAGTGGGGCAGGTTTGCATGCATGTGTATACGGTAGCAAGAGTTTGATATCAGGTATCTTCCTCAATTTTTTACCTTATTTTTTTGAGACAGTCTCTGAACCTAGAGCTCACTGATTAAACAAGCCTGGCTTGTCAGCAAGCCCAAGGGATACTCCTGTCTCTACCTCCCCAGGATAGGAATTACACGTTCTTAACATCACACCTAGCTTTTTTGTCTGGGAATCCAACTCAGATTCTCATGCTTGTGTAGCAAACACTTTACTAGATAAGCCATCTTCTCAGCCTCAAGTGATAGTTTTTAATACACATAATTTTCTCCAAGTTTGACATACTTAGGACAAAATTCTCTTAACTGTTAATGGAAAACTGAGAATTCCTCATATCAAATAGAACTGAGTCTAGTTTCTTGAGTAATGATTTTTCTGAAAATAAAAATAGCAGATATAATGAATGCTGTTGATTAGTGGTTTTAGAATAATTAAAATATCTTTTATTCTCTACACCTACTATGTTCTAAGAACTACCAACATTTTTCTTTTACTTTAGCACACACCCTATAAGTTCATTTAGTATTATAAAAAATTCTCCTCAGGGAGCTGGAGAGATGGCTCAGTGGTTAAGAGCACTGACTGCTCTTGCAGAGGACCTGGGTTCGATTCACAACACCCACGTGGTGGCTAACAACCATCTGTAACTCCAGTTTCAGGGGATTCGGCGCCTAGTTCTGACTTCCACTGGCTTTGCACAACACAGATGCACTTACATGCAGGCAAAACAAACATATAAAATAACAATAAATTTTAAAAAAAGAAGAAAAAATTTTATTCGGAAACATTACATCTTGTTGTCACCTCCCTATAGTAAAAGAACTAGTATTCCAAACCAGGACTACTTCACCTCAAAGGCCTCATACACTTACCCACACACTCTTCATTCTTTCTTAATGATAAAGAGATGTTTATTATGTTTTCAGGCACTGTTACAATCACCTTACAAGGTCTTACCACCTATATTCTAAAGATGAATAAATTGAGGCATGATCAGCTAAGTAACTTGTTTGACATTACAGAAGCTGATAATGACATAACTAGATTTTTAATCCAGCAGTCTTTTCTCCAGAATCTGTGCATTAATATCATTACCCTTTTTGTTGTACTGTATTGTCTCCTACAAAGTCTCAGCAGATTCTGAAAGCATGTGAGCTTTCTTTTCCTGTTCCTTTCCTCTCTTTCCTTCCTTTTATGGTTTTGGGTCAAACTCACAACCTCAAGCACAACAGGCAAACACTACTGAGCTATAATCCCTAATCCAGGACATAAACTTTCACTCATTCTTCTGATTTAAGTCATACACTTTACTTTTTACAACTAAGTAAAGTAATTAACAAGTGCCTCTGAACACTAGGGGTACCTTTTCTGAACAGTCAAAAACTTACCCAAAAAGCTGTGGAAAAAATCTGAGGAATTCTTTGTCCAAAAAAAAAAAAAAAAAAAAAAAGATCACATTAAAAAAATTGTAATTACAAATCGCAAGTAATTTTGTTGTGAATATTGTTACTCTCCCTAAATTTAGTATTAAAACCTTTGGGAATAAATAGAACTCAAAATTCATGCTATTAAGTTTTAGACTTAAACTCAAAAATCAAGGATTAATTAGTTAACTATTAGTGCTCTTTGAGCTTTCTTGTCTTTTTTTTTTTTTAAACCATGTAAATGGACAAAAAATAAAACCAGACAAAACAATAAAAGTCTGGTTCCTCAAGTGAAGGAAATTAATATTGCATAATTACAGTTTCACAATAATTTCTCCAAAGACTATCTCATAATATGGGAAAATTCTTCTGGGATACTATATGAAGGAAGCATTAATAAAGATGGAATATAAGGCATAATTAATTAATTTTTTTTTTTTTTGGTCTTTTTGAGACAGGGTCTCCCTGTCACCTCAGCTGGCCTGGAACTTACTATGTAGACCAGGCTGGCCTTGAACTCACAGACATCTGCTTGCCTCTGCCTCCTGAGTGCTGGGTAAGTTAAAGGAGTGCACCACCATGCCCAGCATTTAATGTTTTTATTTATCTTTTTAATGTTATTATTTTTATTTTATGTGTACGAGTGTATTGCCTGCATGTATGTGAGTTCACCCATGTTGTGCAATGCCACGGAGGTCAAAAGAGGGCTTCAGATTCCCCTGGAACTGGGGTTAAGGAAGATTTGTAGCAGCCATGTGGGTGCTGGGAAATCAACCCCGGGTCCTCTGCAAGAGCAGTCAGTGCTCTTAACCACTGAGCCATCTCTCCAGTACCTTTATGTTATTTTTTTAATATATATATATTTTTATTTTATGTGTATGTGTGTATTGTCTGCGTGTAGGTAAGTGCACCTGTGTCATGCAATGCCCGCGGAAGACAGAAGAGGCTGTTGGATTCCCTGGAACTGGAGTAGAGGTCTAAAATGTAAAATGACTGAAAGCAGGGAAAGCCCTAACAAATAAAACAGTATATGCAGCAGTAAGACTGGAGAATTTTTTCCTCTGCTTTACTTTTAGTTGTTTTCTATAATAGAGTTTTATCTAGAACTTACCAAAATTTAGTTCTGAAACTAAGCTACAGTGTTTTAAAAAAACATTCTATTTACTTTATAATCTTCTGTGTAGTTGAATCACAAAACAAACTACATACCTGGCACTCGAGAGATCATCTGACACAAGTCAATGCTTAAAGCAGCAGCCCTTTGTAAGAGATAGCCCCAGGAATGCATCTGAATCTCATATCCTAATAGAATATCTGGATCATACCTAAAGAAGGAAGGGGGGGGAACAAAGACCATACAACATTTAGACCTTTATCCAAACTATTTTTTCTTGATTGAGAATACAAAAATAAAAACTTATATTTCATAATAGTCTCTCTACAATGGGAAGGGATGATTCAGTGGAACCTATACATTTTTTAAAAAAGAAATACGTGGCTATAGTAGTTGATTTATTTTTAGAATAAGTTAAATTTTACAAAGACTGTACATTTGTTTCTTCTTGGGAACGAGGCTGATGGAATTTGGTGTGTGAGGCAAAAAAGTACCATCGAAGTGTATAAGAAAGAACACAATTTAGAATATGACGTGGATTGGGGAGGGTGTAATGTGAGGCATGAGTGGTATAGTATTAAGATAAAGATCCTCCAGGTTAGTGAATTATCACTTTCCTTCTAGAGTCCATAGCCCTTAAATCAAGTTAACGCTTAGAAAGAAACAATGAGAATCTAAGAGAAAAAGTTACTCATTGTAGCTACATAAATTACACTGGTAAAGTTGAACTGACAACTTGCACCCAACTCAGAAATTATTCTGTGGCTCCTCTTAGCACCTCCATGCTTTAATTATAATGAAAAAAAATTTCAAAGGGAAAACTGTGTAGAGAAAATAGGAACTGACTATAATCATAAATTTTGAGAGCAAAAACTACAGTAGCTGCATCAAGAATCTTAAAATAATGAATTTTATTGTAGTGCTGGGAATTGAATCCAGTGAGGGCCTTGCACATACTAGGCAAGTACTCTATCACTTAGCTTGTTCTAAGACCCTTATTTATTTTTTTAGATAAGCATCTCTGTAGCTCAGGCTGGCTTCCAACTTCGATCCTCCTACCTCAGCCTTCAGAGTGTTGGGATCATAATAACCAGGAGTATGCCTGGTTTAATTTTATTCATTTTTATAGTTAGCATATAAAACAGCAAATTCCACAGTTAATAATTTAAATACCAGCTGTGCCAGGCATCAAGCTACAAGTTTTATGTGGATTAACTTATTTAATTCTCATATATGTTACTAATTTTTCAGACACAGAACATAAAAATTACAGAGATAAGCTGCTCAAGACAAAAAAAATATATATAGGAGCGGGGGCTAGAGAGATAGTTAAGCAGTTAAGAGGACTGGCTACTCTTCCAGAGGATCCAGATTCAATTTTCAGCACCCACATGGTGGCTAACAACCATCCATAGCTCCAGTTCCAAGGGCTCCGACACCCTTTTCTGGCCTCCACAGGCATTGCATGACATGGGTGCACTTACATACATGCAGGCAAAACACTCATACACATAAAATAAAAATAAATAAAATAAAAAAAAATAGGACTGGATGATATAAAAGTGTGTTGAGTAAGTACTCACAAATAGGGTAAAAGAATGAAATAATCTTTTTGGAGGGTTGTTTGGACTAATGTATAAGGGACAGAATGGAATTGAAATGATATTTAAGCATTTTTCTCTCCTTTCTGTTTTATTTTCCCTCATTTTCCATAATGACTAATATAATTCATTTTAACATTTAAGAAATCTACTACACTTGAAATAGGCAATGAAATTCTCAGTGGCAGCAGTAATCCTGTTGTTGGGAATACATCTAAAGAGAAGGCAAGCATACAAAGTACATGAATTTATAGGACACATGCTGGCACACAAAGTGCTGCTGACTGAAATCACATGTTCTATTAGCAAACTTGTTTGCAGAAATAAAAGTGTGGACACTGAAAGAATATCACATAACTTTTAAGAAATGATAATGAGTAGGGATGAAAATGGTAAACTCAAATGATAGAAATCTGTTCAGTCATCAATGCTTTATAAAGCAAAAATACAGTGATCCGCCTGCCTCTGCCTCCCAAGTTGTGGGACTGGTCTACATAGTGAGTTCCAGGCCAGTTAATGCTGCAGGGAGACAACCCTATCTCAAAAAGACAGAAGAAAAGAAAAAAAAAAGTCAAAAGTTTCTTCTTTTTTCTTCCCTAGGATGATGGGTGGAAGTATATCATTTTTATCATTTAAGTGAATTTTTAGTAAAAAACACATTCTCTGGGTTTCTTTTGTTCAGACAGGGTCTCACTATGAAGTCCTGGAACTTCTTATATAGACAAGGATGGCCTCAAACTCACAGCGATCTGCCTTCTCCTGCCTCACAAATGCTGGTAACGAAGGCATGTGCCATCATGCCTGGCTCATTTTCTGATTTTCTAATTTTCAAAATGGTTTATATTAACCTATCTGGGATTTTATCAGCTGTTGGGTCTGTAGAGTTATCCTGATCTTTAATACAGCATATTGTTTAAATCTTTATAGGAAAGAGTTCAACTATAAAGCAGGACAGAAAGAGGTAAACTGTAACAATATCCTAAGAACAACTTTTGTCTGTACATTAGGATCCAGGAAGTCTTTTCTAGCCCACTATAGGCATTAAAAATCTAAGTCTAACAGGTTTAAGTTCCTTGAAGGAAGCATTTAATAGAATTACATTCTTTAGAAAATCCTAAGCTGGGAGTGGTGGCACATGCCTTTAGTCCCAGCACTCAAGAGGTAGAGGCAGAGAGATCTCTGTAAGATCAAGGCCAGCTTGGTCTAAATATGGAGTTCTAGTCAGCTGGGGTGCAGGGAGACCCTGTCTCAAAAGGACAAAAACAAAACAAAACAAAACAAAAACCCAGAAAATCCAAGAGCCACAAATTACTATTTTCTGAGGTGCTGAGCATTAAATCCACAGCCTTGCACATGCTAGGCAGGTGCTCCAACACTGACCTACCACGCTCTCAACTACTGTATATAAATTTTAAAATAAGCATGTCTTTTGTATTTTTTTGCATTTGTGTGTGTGTGTGTGTGTGTGTGTGTGTGTGTACATGGCTCATGTGTGGAGGTAAGAGGACAACTTTCAGGAATTAGTTCCCTCCTTCCACCATTTTTTAAAACTGTATTTTTATTTTACTTTTTAAAATTAATTAATTTTTTTAAAATTTAATAACCACATGATTAGAAGAAGCATTTCATTACAGCTTTAACATATTCAGTAACATTCCAGAGCAAGGATACATCTCTTTCAAAAGTGGCTGTAAATTTTTAGGTTCACTATTGAACTCATTATAAACTACAATACTGAACTCAGTATAAACCCTGTAAGACATAAAATTGAATGTG